AAATTGAAAGGAAAGAAATACTTCCAAACTCATTCCTAGAAGCAAGTGTGACTTTGATTCCAAAACCAGGGAAAGACCCAACCCAAAAAGAGAACAATAGGCCAATCTCCCTAATGAACATAGATGCCAAAATCCTCAACAAGATACTGGCAAACAGAATACAGAATGTCATCAAGAAGATCATACACCCTGACCAAGTAGTATTTATCCCAGTAATGCAAGGATGGTTCATCATACATAAATCAATAAATGTAATACACTATATTAACAGAGTCAAGGACAAAAACCATATGATCATCTCAATAGATGTAGAAAAAGCATTCAACAATATCCAACACCCACTCATGATAAAAACCCTACAGAAAATTGTAATAGAAGGTCTTTATCTCAACCTGATCAAGACTATATATGAAAAATCAACAGCTAACATCATACTAAATGGTCAAAAACTGAAAACCTTCACACTAAAATCAGGAACAAGACAAAGATGTCCATTATCACAACTCCTACTCAATATAGTTCTGGAAACATTAGCCACACCAATTAGACAAGAGAAAGAAATTAAAGGAGTAAAGATAAGAAAGGAAGAAGTTACACTGTCACTATTTGCTGATGATATGATACTCTGCATAGAAAACCAAAAAATCTCTGTCAAAAGATTTCTAGACTTAATTAACAGATTCAGTAGAGTAGCTGGATACAAGGGCAACACTCAAAAAATAATAGCCTTCTTGTACACAAATAACAGACTCACTGAGAGAGAAGTTAGGGAAACAATTCCTTTTACAATAGCATCCAAAAAAAGAAATATCTAGGAATCAATCTAACAAAGGAACCAAAAGACCTCTACACTGACAACTACAGCACTCTGAAAAAGGAGATTGAGAAAGATATCCCTTGTTTCTGGGTAGAAAGAACCAATATAGTGAAAATGGCTATTCTTCCAAAACTACTGTATAGATTTAAAGCAATGCTGATTGAAATTCCAACAGCATACTTCACAGGACTAGGGAAAACAATCCAAAAATTCATTTGGAATCAGAAGAGACCCAGAATAGCAAAAGCAATTCAAGGCAACAGAGACATGGCAGGAGGTATCACAATCCCCTACTTGAAACCATACTACAAAGCTACTGTGATAAAAACAGCATGGTACTGGAAAAGAAACAGACCTGAGAAAAAGTGGAATAGATTAAAAGATCCAGAAACATCTTCAGACACACTCAGCCACCTCATCTTTGACAAAGGAGCCAACCATCCTCATTGGAAAAAAGAGAGCCTCTTTAATAAATGGTGTTGGAAAAACTGGATGTCAATCTGCCAGAGATTAAAACTAGACCTATATCTATCACAGTGAACTAAACTAAGATCAAAATGGATTAAATATCTAAATATTAAAACAAAAACACTAAACTTGCTGGGAGATAAGTTATGTAAAATTCTTGAAGACATTGGCATAATAAAAGCCTTTTTGAACAAAACTTCAGTAGCACAGGAACTAGTAAAAAAAATTCAACAAGTGGGATCTTATCTTATTAAAAAGCTTCTGTACTGCAAGAGAAACCACAAACAGAACTAAGAGACAACCTACAATGTGGGAAAAAAATTTTAGCAGCTGTACCTCAGACAAAGAACTACTATCTAGAATATATAAAGAAGTTAAAAAAATCAGACACCCCAAATGGAAAGACTCAATTCAAAAATGGGCATCTGAAATAAACAAACATTTCTCACACAAAGAAGTAGAAATAGCAAATAAACATGAAAAAAATGTTCAAAATCACTGGTCATTCAAAAGATGCAAATGAAAACAACATTCAGATTCCACTTCACCCCAGAAAGAATGGCTTCTATCATGAAATCAACCAATACCAAATGCTGGTGGGGCTGTGGAAAAAAAGGAAGACTGATCCACTGCTGGTGGGTGTGTAGACTCATGCAACCACTGTGGAAATCAGTATGGAGACATCTCAAAGAACTAGGACTGGAAATCTCTTTTGACCCAGCTGTTCCCCTGCTGGGTATCTTCCAAAAAAAAATAAAAGAATCATACCACAGTGATATATGTGCACCCATGTTCAT